CCCTAAAGAGTACAGGAATCTGATCCTTCTGGTCCCCACCACTCTGCAAACAGACCTCCTCCCAGTACACCCAGACCTCCACTTCTGTTTGTTGATAGTATCCCCCAAAGAGCGCAGTACTCCAATCTCAATGCACCCCACCATACTGCATACAGACCACCTCCCAGTACACTCAGACCTGGACTTCTGTTTGAAAAAGGTATCCACCAAAGAGTGCAGAACTCCAGCCTTCTGCATATAGACCTCCTCCCAGTACACCCAGACCTCCACTTCTGTTTGTTGATAGTATCCCCCAAAGAGCGCAGTACTCCAATCTCAATGCACTCCAGTACTCTGCATACAGTGTATACAGACCTCCTCCCAGCACAACCAGACCTCCACTTTTGTTTGCAGAAGGTATCCCCCCAAAAAGCGCAGTACTCCAATCCCTCTGCACCCCACCATACTGCATACAGACCACCTCCCAGTAAACTAAGACCTCCACTTCTGTTTGCAGAAGGTATCCCCCAAAGAGTGCAGGACTCTGCATAGAGACCTCCTCCCAGTACACCCAGACCTCCACCTACAGCCTCAAAGAGTACAAAACTCAAATCCCTCAGTCCCCCCCCACTCTGCATACAGACCTCCACTTCTGTCTTCTGTTTGCAGAAGGTAATCCTCCAAAGAGTTCAAGACTCCAACCACTCTGCGAACCTTCTCCCAGTAAACCCAGACCTCCACTTCTGTGCACAGAAGGTTTTTTTCCCAAGTGTGTAGAACTCCAAACCCTCTTTACACACACCTCTATGTTTAGACTTCTCAACTATGATCCTAAAAGAAAAGGACCCTCCATAATATGCTAACCTTCACCACTATATGTAAATGTAGACCCTGTCCTGTGTGCACCCCCCCTTCCCCCCAAAAAAACACCCATCTTTGTGGAGTCTCTCCACTTCTAATGCTCAGGACTTCCGTGGTATGCTAAGCCCCCACCACCCCACATGTGCAGCAGAAGAAAACCAACTAGGGTGTAAAGCAGAAACCACTTCATATGTATGCCAACTGTTTGCTCCCTTGAAGAATGGAGGTTTACCAAACCAAAAATAGTATTTCCCCACCTCCATTATTTTCATTATTGCTCATGCCTTGGATAGAGCAGATATCATTCATTGGCAGAGTCTCATTGTGCTATCATTTAAAAATGTATCACATTATGTAGATAGGCAAATACAGTTTGCTTTTGGGAGCATATATCTTGCATGTGAGTTCAGCCGAAGACCTTCTGAGTTTCATCACAGGTGCTTCTGACCTGCATTTGGCCTAATTCTAAGCTGCGTTTGCTTTCCTATTGCTTGATGAGGACCGCGGGCTAATTTGCACCATTGCGCTTTGTATTATGTTTTCCACTATTTTTATATCTCTGTTTTCCACCTTTGCACTTCCAGTTACAATGTGATTTCCATCTGGTTTGCATGTTCTGCTGGTAAAAACAATGGGTTTGTCCAAGAATCCAGCCAAAAAGCAGAAGTGGAAATGGGCCCATAAAGTATATCTCCAGTTTTGCAGCCAGATTGTGATAATACCTACTTCATATATTACATCTTCCCATTCACATAGCGTGACCTAAAGAGGAACTCCGGGAATCTAAAAAATGAGCCTTTGCAGTGGGTCTACCCCAGCACTGCAAGGGTTCAGTGCTCGTTTTGGTGTAGGGGCTCAAATAAAACAAATATTCTCGCCTCTTCTCCCCTGCGTTCCATCGATCTAAGGACTGCTGATGTCATCACATCTTATGCAGGTGCATTGACTTGCATTAGGTATGAGAATGCCAAGGGACATATCGTAGCCAGATCAGAGGAGAGAGCACTCTCTATGTAATATATGTACGTTCCCCCCTCCACTCCAGTGGTGGTATGTCCCTAGGCATCTTTATGTCTAATAGACCTGTATTAGACGTGATGCCGTTACGGGTCCTTAGACCGCCAGAGCCCAGATCAGAAGATTCTTTGGGGACTGGTCTAGCAACCAAGCTGGACAAAGGATCGGGTGAGTATTTCTTCTATATTTCCCCCCTAGGGAAAAATGAGCAGTTAACCCCTGCAGTGCAGGGGGTAGCCCCATGGCACGGGTTAACGTTTCTAAAACCTGAAGTTCTTCTTTAAGGGAGTGGGGAGTTAATGTTTACCATAATTAACCCCATCCATACTGTGCTGGTAGATTTTTATTATCAGCTATAAACAAGATGTGCACTGAACAAAGGGTTAAAGATCTCAAGGTTTGGGTGCTACATTGTATGTCTATGTACTTTCCCTCACTTTGTGCCTCCAACGCATTTTGAAATTGTTCAGAATAGCTTGCAGTCCTATGTATAAAGCTGCTCCAAAGTAACAACTAGAGATGGAAGAAATATTTTTGTAAATAATGTTTTTAGGTATGATGTTTGAATGGGAATATAATACAATATATAATACAATATAATCTAAACATCTAACATCTAAATAGTCAGCCAGGGAGTATCTGCAGAGATTGCAGGCAGCCCATCCGTGTGTATTGGTTTCTGGATCCTAGCAAAAAAGAAGCCAGTTGGGCCAATGGTCTCTGTCCCCGGGCGCCTGTGTTGTCACAACTGAAAAAAAGGTTTGATAACAGATTTTGTGGAAGGTCACTGAACTAAATGTCACTCACACCTACTGACGACAACAGAAGGTGACAGCAGAGGGAGCCCAAGGGCAGAAAATGTACGTTACCCTCCCAAATAGAGACTGTTACTGTATTCACATTACTCTGGTACCGTGGTCTCCAAACTGCGGCCCTTTTCTCACCTGTAACCGGCCCTCGCGGCACTATTCCTCCCACTGACACCAATGATGGGGCACTATTCCTCCCACTGACACCAATGATGGGGCACTATTTCTCCCACTGACACCAATGATGGGGCACTATTCCTCCCACTGACACCAATGATGGGGCACTATTCCTCCCACTGACACCAATGATGGGGCACTATTCCTTCCACTGACACCAATGATGGGACACTATTCCTCCCACTGATTCAAATGATGAGGCACTATTCCTGCCACTGAAACCATCAATAAGGTACTACCTCCTCTACTGACACCAATGATGGGACACTATTCCTGCCACTGACACCAATAAAAAAATGTAGAAATATCACCAGCACACCAGTCCTTTTAAGATAGCAAAAGCTTAATTTATTTAAGTTTTTTGTCATATGACCAAACAAGCGCTTTTGGGACCGCACAGGGTCCCTTCATCAGGCTTTAGCATTGACGATGGGCCACCTATTCCTCTCACTGACACCAATGATGGGGCACTATTCCCCCCACTGACACCAATGATGGGGCACTTATTCCTTCCACTGACACCAATGATGGGGCACTATTCCTCCCACTGACACCAATGATGGGACACTATTCCTCTCACCGACACCAATGATGGGGCACTATTCCTCCCACTGACACCAATGATGGGGCACTATTCCTCCCCCTGACACCAATGATGGGACACTATTCCTCTCACTGACACCAATGAGGGGGCACTATTCCTTCAATTTGACACCTACAATATGGCATTACTTCTTCCACCGACACCATCAATGGGCCATTATTCCTTCCACTAATATTATCAATGCAGCACAACTTACTCCTGCTGATACCAACTATAGGGGCCCTAAACACAGGTACTAGGTCACTGTTTACCCCCACTGCTCACCAACCTTGGGGCATTGTTTATTCCCATTGACTCCAGGGCATTGTCTACTCATGCTGGCCACAATCCAGCCCCCCTAAGGTCTGAAGGACAGTGAACTGGCCCCATGTTCAGAAAGTTTGAGGACCCCGCTCTAGTACTGTAGCGTGTATGTATGTGTGTGAGAGTTATCTGCCCATCTCTGGCCAAGGTCCTCACACCAATGGTTTTGCCGTACCTCCAGCCAATCTTGATTTTGGGTCCCAGAAGCCATGGAAGATGTTAAAAAAGGTTTTGCTCAATTTTGTCACTTTTTTAAAAGATTTATAGAACGCCTGAATTAAAAAATATGAAGTCTTCCGTTATCGTCCTTTTTCTGAAAATGCAAGTTACCTGGTTGTTTCTGTCTTCGGTACATTGAATCATTGACCTGGAACCAGCATGCCATAAGTGATGTCAGAGCAAAGTCAAAACTTCTGTTTTGCATGCTTGTCCCAGGACAATGACATCATTAAGGTCATTGGATCAGCAAGAGATAAGGCAGCCTTTACATTTTCTTCTTTGTTTTACTTGCTTGCTGTTCCATATTTTCAATCTGTTTCCCTGTAGATGGTTCGAGTGAGGTTTTGCATGCCCCTTTTAAAAAAAAATAAAAGCTTAGGAGGTATGCTTCAGCTAGGTTACTGTTTTCAAGGTCAGAGATACAGAATGTTACCAGAGGGAAGGCTGATTATGAAAATAGAGAACAGCAAAATAGCCAAATGTAAAAATTACAGCAACCCTTTTATAGATTGAGTCAATAAATAAAATGTACTAAATAATGAAAATAAATATTTAAAGCAAACAAACATCTATTTTCTTTGTTGTTTCAGATATTTCCTGAGACCTCTAATGGCTTCTGAGCAGATAATCAATTCAGTTATTGATCATAAACCCAACTGTGTCACTGTCACCTCTGAGCAGACAGAGAATCCCACCAGTGGCAGTGCAATACCTGAGACTGAACACAAGGGGGGAGCAGAGACACATGCAGCCGTACCAGAGATTTCTGCAGAGGGTCAGGGACCAGAAGGGGGGGCAGTTAGTGCAGTTTTAGGGGAGTCTGGTGGGCAGCACACAGAGAGGGAAGGGCAGGAGAGCCAGAAGAAGAACAGAGAAGAGGAAGAGAATGAAAGGACCGACAGAGAGTTCTCAGAGACTATTGAGAAGTTGGATTCTGTGTTACTGGAGGCTGGGGGAAGAGAGGGGCAGATAGAGGGAGATGGGACAGATATAAACAGGACAGAAGAGGGGAACATAACAATAGAACAGACCACTGAGTCAGGAGGGGAGACCAGTGGGCAGGCGCCAGCAGAGGAGACCGCTGTACCGGCGTCAGGCGGGGAGGCCACTGTGCAGGCGCCAGCAGACGAGACCACTGTGCAGGTGTTAGGGGGGGAGACCACTGTGCAGATATCAGGAGGGGAAACTTCTGTGCAGATGTCAGGAGGGGAGGCCACTGTGCAGGTGCCAGCAGAAGAGACCACTGTGCAGGTGCCAGAAGACAAGACCACTGTGCAGGTGCCAGAAGACAAGACCACTGTGCAGGTGCCAGAAGACAAGACCACTGTGCAGGTGCCAGAAGACAAGACCACTGTGCAGGTGTCAGGAGGGGAGACTACTGCGCAGGTGTCAGCAGAAGAGGCCACTAGGCAAGTGTCAGAAGGGGAGACCACTGCGCAGGTTTCAGCAGAAGAGACCACTACGCAGGTGTCAGAAGGGGAGGCCACAATGCAGGTGCCAGCAGAAGAGACCACTGTGCAGGTGTCAGAAGGGGAGGCCACTCTGCAGGTGCCAGCAGAAGAGACCACTGCGCAGGTGTCGGAAGGGGAAACTACTCCACAGGCGCCAGCAGAAGTGACAGAAGGGGAACTTGCTGTGCCTCCAATGGTGGAAGGCACTGTGCAGGTACCTTCAGTTGAGATCACTGTGCATGTATCAGCAGAGGAGGCCCCTGTCATAGAGGCAGAACGGGGGGACACTGAGACAGAAGGGGCATCTACTGTGCAGGTATCAGAAGAAACAAGCCAGGAGGCCAGCCTGCTAGGGACAACAGAAGAGGATGTTAGCCCCCAGCTAGTAGAGGGGACAGGTACAGGCACGCATGGGACTGCAACCACACAGGTGACTAAAGCGGGCGAGGCGTGGATAGACACCCTGGTAAGAAACATAGTGACAGAGGTGACAGCAGAAGGCAGTGGGGAATGTCAGGTACATGTGTCAGCAGCTTCCAGCATTGAGCAAACGGAGGAGGAGGGGGGACATTCCTGTGCCGGCACCGCAACAATCCCGGACCATGAACAGGTGACATTAGAGGAGACAGGTGCAGCTGTGCCGGTGACACACGTACAGGATCAGGTGTCCTATGACATAACTGTACAGGAGGACGGGGAGGTGACAGGTTCTCTTGGACAGCCGGGGGAGACAGGTAACCCAGATCAGGTGGGACTCTCTGGTACTGAAGGGGTAGCGGAGAGTCTCCTGGAGCAGGAAGCAGCTGCTGAAGTGGAAGCCGGTAGACCGGTAAAGCCCCCAGGCGAGGAAGCACAAGGATCAGTGACACCTAATCTGATGACTGTCCCCGGCAGGGAGGGGACACCAGATCCAGGACAGCCAGCAGCATGCTGGGAGAAGGAGTGGCCGCCTCTTATTTGCACTGGCAGCGAGGTGAGGGCAGACACAGCTGAGCAGAGAAGCACAGACCAAGGGACAGTCCCCGAGCAGGAACCGTGTCCAGGAGCCCCAGACATGAAGGACAGGGAGATGATAGAGAATGGGGTCATCCTTTCCCCCGAGACCCCCATAGAGAGAGAGATCCGCCTGACCATGGAAAGAGAGAAGACGCTGCGCCAGGAGAGGGGCATCAGGGTAACCCTTGGAGAGTCCGAGTTGGTGGAGGTGCGCAGGAAGACGGTGACGACGGAGCCGGCTGGGCTGCCGGGCAAAGAGCGCCAGTTGGCCGGGGCGCAGATGCAAAGGGAGATCCAGCTGGAGACCCAAAGGGAGACAGACCTGGTGCAGCAGGGCAAAGTGATGGGCACGTACGACCGCGGAGCCCAACAGGAGCTGCAGGAGAGGAAAATGATGTTTGAAAGCATGAACACAGGTAGGTGCATTGATACAAGTGTCCCCCCCCGTCCTGTCCTGTCCACCTACCATTCATCTACACCTTGGCTCCGCTTCATTCCATAGACCCTTAATAGAGTCCTATAGAGTCCTTCAGAGCAGTCCGAGCCCAAAGGAGCTAGCAATCTAACCGCCCTTCCGCAATCCTACTGACCCCGACATCATTTATGATGGAGCAACACGTATGTTATTGGGCTGTCAGAAAGAAAACCCACAAATACTCCATAGGCTGGTGTCCCTGTTGGAAATTATAAGTGCTATCCGTGCCGCACTCCTTACCGATATGTCCCTTGTAGTGGGGGGTGCTCGCAGTGACCGCGGATGGCACCGCGAATGTCAGCAAAATTGTAGAAATGTCACCAGCACACCAATCCTTTTAGGATAGCAAAAGATTCATTTATTGAAGTTTTTTGTCATATGACCAACACATATGACAAAAAAACTTCAATAAATGAAGCTCCTGTTGGAAATTAAACCCACGGCCCCGGCTCTGCAAGGCAGAATTCTAACCACTGAGCCACCATGCTGCCCCGTAGGGCTGAAGAACATTGACTGCCCCTCCAGTAAAGAAAGCGGCCACCTCATTGTGGCTCTTGGTGGCCAGTTTATTCTGATAATCCTCAGTGTAGCTGCTGATGGTGGTGGTTCCTTGTCTCGGTGGTGTCACATGACAGGTCCTCTTTGATAGCAATCTTCTCCGCTCCTTACCTGCACTTCACTGTTTCCACCCATCATTCCTCATACCTGACCGATGTCTCCTCTGCGGAATTCTGCTGAACACGCGCTTTTCTCTCCTGACCAGTTCCACATCCGTTCTGTCATTACTATGAGATATAGTCTGAGGTGTGTCCCCTGGCACTCTCCCCCTCCCCCACCTACCTGAGGATAACTGGGCCTTATGCTGGCCTACTCCAACCTACCTACCTGAGACATACTCCATATCAATCAGCTTCTTTGCCTCTGTATATGGAACCACCAACCTCACCTTCATTATGGCTGTCACCTACCTCATCTGTTTACCTGGGGACATCGACCTCACCTGCACTGTATAACTGTCACCTACCTCTCCTGTATACTGGGAGACACCAACCTCACCTGCACTGTATAACTGTCACCTACCTCTCCTGTATACTGGGAGACACCAACCTCACCTGCACTGTATAACTGTCACCTACCTCTGCTGTATACCTGGGGAAGCCAACTTCACCTGTGCTTTATAATTGTCACCTACCTCTCCTGTATACCTGGGAACACCAACCTCACCTGTGCTTTATAACGGTCACCTACCTCATCTGTATACTGGGAGACACCAACCTCACCTGCACTGTATAACTGTCACCTACCTCTCCTGTCTACCTGGGGATGCCAACCTCACCTGTGCTTTATAATTGTCACCTACCTCTCCTGTATTCCTGGAGACACCAACCTCACCTGTGCTTTATAACGGTCACCTACCTCTCCTGTATACTTGGGGATGCCAAACTCACCTGCACTGTATAACTGTCACCTACCTCCTCTGTATACTGGGAGACACCAACCTCACCTGCACTGTATAACTGTCACTTACCTCCTCTGTATACCTGGGGACGCCAACCTCACCTGCACTGTATAACTGTCACCTACCTCTCCTGTGTACCTGGGGACACCAACCTCACCTATGCAATATAACTGTCACCTACTTCCTCTGTCTACCTGAGGACATCCACATCACCCCTTTTCATAACAGCCACTTACCTTCCCTGTGTACCTAAGAGCCCCTAGCTCATATTTGTGTTATAACCCAACCTACCTGCCCATGCACACACATGTGTGATATATGTTACCTACCTCAGGCTAGCTACCCATAGACAATGCTCAGCCTGCCAATGAGATGAGCAGATCTGCCGGCCTCCAAATACAATGTACACATAGAAATCAGGCTTTTAAAGGGTTAACACGCTGATAGGATTATTTGCATTAAGCGGATCACTTTGACAGGTAAATCTAAAAAGCATATGACATGGAATATCAAAGTATTGATCAGACTGTACATTGTAACTTTGTATCCAGTCACAAGGTGAGAGGCTGCATCAGGGGGCTGATCTGTGTCAAGATTTGTGAACAGAGCCAGGATTACATTGCTGTGCTATCTCAGAGCTGACATCACAGTCCAAGAAGTAGATGGTGACCCTGGATGATGCCTGAACAAACATGGTGCCCTCTTTCTGGAGAGGAAAGCAAATTAGGGCATCGTTAGGGGGATCTGATGACAGGTCCACTTTAAAGATAACCTGTGAGGATAGAAATCTAAGAGCGGCCATCGCTGATCATTCTGATCCTGGCTGCACTCCTAGAGGCTCAGTGACCTAGTTTTGTGGTTCTCTGTTACAGGTCTATTCTGGGGCAGCGCTGCTGCTGGCTGACTGTAGACTCTCATATCTGTTACCATCGTTGCCCTTCTTATCCTAGTTTTAAGGTCGGCTCGCACCTACGCATTTCGGGAACGCGCACATTTCAGTGGCCGTTACTGCGATGCGCGTGGATTGCAGATCCATTCATTTTGAATGGCCACAAATTGCACTAACCAACCTTTAAGGAACCTGCGTTGCAGCGCATGACAACACTTGGTGACGCAGTATCGCGCGTCGTGGTGCGCTGCATTGAATAAAATCCAATGTTCGGTCCGTTGTGTAGCAATGGCATCCAATGTGAATGAATAGGATAGCCTTGTACAACATGGGTTAACAAGCGACACTCATAAAGGGATTTCTTCTCACTTCCTGTTATGTCTCCAGGAGAGGAAGTGATGGGAATTCCCTCACAGTGGGACACAGACAGCAATAAAAAAACTGCAGGTGTTATATAGCAGAGCTCCAGCCAATAATAACAAGATAAAAAATTAATAGAACTAATCAAAACGAGCTTATACTGCTGAATCCATTTCCCCTGCAGTACATTTTCTGCCACCAGATGTCCTCAGTGAACCCATGTCCTCCGAACCCAGGTCATCCCGGACAAGCCCCCAACCTGTGATTGGACTGTGAAAGGAGAAGCAGCACTGTGATGAGCTCAGAACTGATCGGCTCCTTGTGCTGCTTCTTCCCCTCACACTCCAGCCCTGCTGTACAGATTGCTGATACCTGAGCAAACTAGGGGCTTGCACTGCTTGTATTTAAATGATGGATCAAAGATTGTAGAGCCGCTTTGTGTGCGTCTTGTACATCAGCCCGGAGAGATGTGCACTGACCTGCGTTCTGTTGCAGGTAACATGTCCCTTTCTTAATGCATTGCAATCGATTAGAGATAAATTGATACCGGTCTTTCGGTATTGAGTCCGAGTACCGACATTTTGCTTTCAGTACTCGCCGATACCGAGTACCGATGCGTCTGCTGGCATGGAGCCAGCTTCCCGAGCTATGCCGCCCGGCTTCCTGATTGCCAGGGAAGCTGGCTCCATGTTGTTTGGCCGGGCTTGATTGTGATTAGCCGGAAAACCGGCTTCCTAGCCAATCAGCATTGAGCCGGCTTCCTGGCCGATCAAGAAGCCAGGCGGCGATTTACTGACCCGCCTCCTGACTTCCTGATTGGCTGGGAAGCTGGCTCCATGCTGATTGGCTGTAAAGCCGGCTTCCCAGCAAATCAGCAAGGAGCCAGCTGTTCTGCCGGCTCGATGCTGATTGACCGAGAAGCCGGCTTCCCATCCAATCAGCATGGAGCTGGCTTCCTAGCCAATCAGGGAGGCGGGTCATTACTCGCCGCCCAGCTTCCTGATCGCACAGGAAGACGGCTCCATATTTCCCTACGGCACTGCGGAAGTTCCAGTATCGGGGAAGGTATCAGAGCATTTGGGCGAGTATGAGTACTCGCCCAAATACTCGGCATCGGCACCAATATCGATACTGGTATCAGTGCATCCCTACATCGAATGTTAAAATCAAACAAAATTTTGCATGACATTCGTTGCGTCTCTGATGACGTTGTTGTATGTCCTGACGAGATTTCTCGTACCAATGTCTGCCAGTGTGTGACCAGCTCACCATCCGCCATGACTGGGGATCTGATGGAAAAGAACCGGTGACTGGAGGTAACTCCGGGACATTAAAAACCACCATTATATATGGGCCACTTGTCTCCATCAATGAACCAATCAGAATCCTCCACTGCAGTGACATTTGCTTCTTTGCAGGAGGCTGCAGCACTATGGCCTGCTCTCCTCTTGGCAGAGACCTATTGGGTATGACTCTATACCAGGGGTGGGCAAACTCCTGCCCCCCAGCTGTGCTGAAACTACAAATCCCATGATGCATCTGTCTATGGGAGTCATGCCTGTGGCTGCGAGGACCTTGCATTGCCTCATGGGATTTGTAGTTCCACAACAGCTGGAGGGCCGGAGATTGCCCACCCCTGCTCTATACAATGGTGGTTCCCCCGTAGAGCCCCCGAGGTTCTGCTCCGTCCCAGCTCGCCCTGGACAGTCACTCCTGTGTTTACAAAGGTATCCTTAGTCAATTTAGCGGCAAAGACATGTAAATGAGTGTTGACTTAACACGGGTAAAGGAAATCGAAAGCCGAATGACTGCCAAGGGTTACTGATTTACCTTTCACTCTCCGTCCCTGGAAACATTTGCCTCTCGGGCTGTCTCTGGTTTCCGAGTGTAAGTCAGCGGTGCTCCTCTAATACGGGGAGATCACACTTAAAGGGGAACTCTAGGAAAAAGTAAACATTAACCCTTGTTGTGGGCTACCTCCGCGCTGCAAGGGCTCATTTTGGTCTAGGGGCTAAAATAAAGAAGAAATGCTCAATTGGTAAAAATATCCTCTATTACTGTCTATTTTTTTTTATTTAACAATAATTGTTTATTGAGAAACAGGTCAATCATAGATGACAACAATGATCAAATAGGTAGCATAGTAATCTTACATTTCTGGCATTTTACATAGCAGAAAAAGCTTATCCATATAGTCAATAACAATCTATTACTGTCTATTGATGAGGGGCATACAGAAAAGGAAATGAGGAGAATTACCCCCTCTTCCTGTCTATTTGATGAGGGGCATACAGAACAGGACATGAGGAAAAAGGCGCCTCACGTCTAATGCAGCTGCAATAGACATGATGATGTCACGGGTCTTTAGACCACTGGAGCCCCAGGAGAAGAATAGGCTGCGGGGACTGGTCTAGCATCCTCATCATTGGCACAAAGGGTCTGTTTCAGACAGCAGAGCGACCAATCAGATTCTCACTTTCTTCCTCCCAAAGCACTCGGCCAATGGAATCCTTAATTTCCAAACTAAATATGGGCTGAGCGACAAAGGCATGAAATTAGGGTTGCCACCTTTTCTTCAAGCGAAACCCGAACACTCTGGCGACACGTGGATATTTGTTTGGGAGAATGAGTCACGGCTTATTCATATGTAATTAGTGCCACCTGTTCATATTTTCAGTGGGGGGCCAGTAGCCCCTATCTTAATTTTGGTTGCCCCTGTCTGCCTGACATCTTGTGTCCGGGCTTCTGCTGCCATGAAACCCGGACACAGCATTCAAAACCCGAACTGTCCGGGTGAATCCCGGACAGGTGGCAACCCTACATGAAATGCTGTCTGTGTCCCCATAGAGGGGATTTCCCTTCTCTTCCTGTTCTGTCTGACACCCATCGCCTGAACAGGAAGTGAGAGGAATATTCCTCATGGGGACACAGACAGCAATGAAACCCTAACACTTTCCTAAACCATCATTCTACTAGAAAAATTGTGGCGGGGGGGGGG